ACTAATCATTTAGTAACAACAAAATTTGTCAAGCTTTTGTCTGAAAAGAAGAAGGTAAATCACAAGATAAGAGTTTTCAAACAAGGACAGAGCGTAAATGCTAACATACAGGGGGTGATGCACCCAGAAAGAGAGGGAAGTCGTAAAATAAGGCGTGAAAATGTTTTGATGTGCAAAAATCTAACACACAACTTGCTTTCGGTCGAGAAAATTGAATCCAACGGAAGCAAGATAACCTTTTAGGCTGGATTTTTTTTTATAAAGCACAGTAATGATAATGTGTTAGCAGAAGGCATCATAGAAAGCAACTTGAATGTTCTAAAGTTAATTGTACCAACAGTACTGGCAAATCTAGCTTCAGTTCAGGAATAAGATTTATGGCATAGAAGGATGGGCCATTCCTCAAGATACCCTTCTTCTAAGACATGTGAATTGTGCCTGAAAGGCCAACCAACGAGAAAACCTTTTTATAATGTACCAGAAGAAAGAAAAGCAAAAATAATTTTGAATATGTATATCAAGTGATGTATGTGGTCCACTGAATCCGGTCTCCCACAATGTCTCTCACTTTTTTTTTTAGAAAATAGAAGTGAGGCTTTTCAAAAGTTTAAAGAGTATATTACCATGGTGGGAAACAGCTTTAAGATTTTACCTGAAAGACTCAGATGTGGCAACGGTAGAGAATACCTACATTTCTCACGAGTTTAAGAACTTTTGCCAGCAGAAAGGTATCAAAATGGAATTTACAATCGAACCCTTCTAGACAAAGTTCGGAGTCTCATATTTGAAGCCAATATTGAGAAGCCTTTTTGAGAAGAAGCTGCGTCCACTTCAGCATATTTGATTGATAGAACTCTCACCTCGACTCTACCAAGAAACCAAACACCCTCAGAGTTCTGGTATGGTGAAAAGCCAAACTTAAATAAGATAGGAAAATTGGTTGTGTATTTTATGTGTATATACCTGCAGAAGACAGGAGGAATGAGCTAGATCCAAGAAGTCAAAAAATGTTTCATGTAGGATACACAGAAAATGGATACCGTTTCGTTTGTGGAATCCTAGAGAAAAAAAGATAATCTCTGCTAGATATGTCATTTTCTATGAAACAAAAACTGGAAATAAATGCGCAACACAAGAATTTGAAGTAAACCCACATTATGTTGACAAAAAACTAGAAAATCCTAGTGACTCTGAAAATAATGACGATGATGAAAATCCCAGAGATGACAATGACCATGAAAATTAGAATTCTATACATAGGAACAAGAGCGAAGACCAAACTGCAAGGTAAAGCCTATAAAGTTCAAGGAATATGAAATGGAATTTTCTGACGATGGCAACCTTATGCTACATATCTAGAAACTGATATTCCTAAGAGCTATTCAGAAGCAGATGATGGTTGGAAAAAGGTCATTCAGTGTGAACTAGATGCTGTATGCCAAGATGGATTTTTACAGTGTAAGAGTGCGAGAATGGCGATAAAATTAAAAAGGCACGCCTTGTTGCTAGATGTTATAAGCAAGAGAAGTGCGTGTATTATGTATGTGTAGTACCTATTAACCAGTAGCACGTATGTTTTCAATAAGAGTGCTTTTGTCTTTGTGTATAGGAAAAGATCTCGGAATTGGTCATCCCGACGTGAAGTGTACTTTTTTGAATGGTGACCTCAACCAGTATATATGGAGAATCCGGCAGGTGTAGAGGTAAAACAATCAGAGAAATGTAAGTACATTTGTAGATTAGGAAAATCCTTTCACTTTGTAAGCGAGGAACCATAATGTTGGTACACAAAACTGCACAGTCACTTGATCGAAATAAAATTTGAAAAATCTAAATTTGATCCTTGTCTATATTATTAATGACATGTCCCACTTGTTGGAATGGGTTTTATTTGCCTCGAAAATATTCTGGATTCGGTTGGATCGAGGTCTGGATTCGAAATCCTGGAGTGAGTGAGGGTAGCTTTTCACTGATGATTAAATAGAGGTCAGAATCTACTGTGGGAACAACGTGCAAGGCATAACTTACCGAATGGATGGTTGTAAAAATCCGAAATCATCGGCGAAATTATGGCACTTCACGAAAACGTAACGCAACGTAAGGCAACTCAATGTACCATAAATTCAATACTTGAGAATATTAAGGTCAAAATCCCTCAAAAGCGAAGACAAAATTTAACTTCTTCAGGAAGACCTTATTTCTCGGAATCGTCAAATGTGAAAGAAAGAAGCACCACAGGTAATTAATTAGCTGTCCTAAAGGTAGAGAGTAGAAATGAGGCAAAGTATCGACAAATATTAGAAAGAAATCGAAGAGAATTGTATTAGTAGTACCAAAAATAACACACAACAATATAATCTGAGAAAAATGACAACAGCTGACAACTAATGATAACAACAAGTAATTAACCACTAGAACAATCATATTTTGAAGAATACGACATTGAATAAGTGATTCATGTTGCAAAACGTAAACGCTTACAAAGGAATCGATGATCCCAGAACCATCACTAATCGAAAGGCCAATCGACAAAAATGAACGACACTTCTCCAGTCAGCTAGCACACAAATCATAAGTGACATGACTTAAGTGTCACTATAGAATAAAAAGCAATCCGGTGGTTTATGGAACCAATGATGGAACCTGATGCCGAACCAAATCTGGTATTGAGTTCAGCAACCGAACAGAGTACGTGGAGCGTGCGGTAGACCACTTCGTGAACGGACAACTATTTGGAGAACCTAACCCAAGAAATAATTGATTTGTTTACATGAAAATTCAATTAGAAAAATGGGATTAAAATATTGATTAAAACATGACTAAAACCGAGGAAAATCATTAATTGTTACAAGAACTAATCACAAGTGAAAATAGAATTTAAATAATAAAGGTTAGAAAATTTTCAGGATCTGCAACTACTGGAATTATTGTTGAATTTTTATAAAGAAAAAATGTAAACAAAGTCTAATAAAATCAAGAAAAAATTAAATATCTATAGGAATTTTGAATGGAAAACTAAAAATAAGTGTGAAATAGTTAAAGGCAATTTTGGCACTTTACAATGTTCAGAGTTTCCTCACGATGTTCTGCTTAACAGATTTCAACTTCCATCTATGAAAATCAGAAGCGTTTTATCTGCTGTTTTCATATTGTTCAACTACAAGAAAATGTAATTAAGCCTATGATGATGGCTTCTTGCTTCTACCATCTCGCATACTTCACCTTATCGAGGGATACCTGCAGACAGGAATGGAAATCCTGTACAGACTTGATAGCGGCTTATCTAACCTGAACAGATTGTAACAAAATCAATAGTAAATCCATATTCTCGGTTCAAGTTCATCTTTCGTGGGGATTAATAGCTTTTCTATAGATACTTAAAATGTGACCTTAATGAGACTTACAAACACACGGAGTTTTTGGGAATTATACTTAATTTAGTCGAGGATGAAATCACTCAAAAGCCAAAAAGGTATCAAATTTTATAGTTTTATTATTATTTTACTGTCTCCGAAATTGACGAATATGTATATAGGCAAAATTGATTTTTTCCTAGATAATCACTAAAGTTCAAAGTAATCTGTAGTTGTACCGGATCACATGGGGGCGTAATAACTTATTCGATGTCAGGAATAATCTTCTGAATTCCTACGTTCCATGAAAAACCCAGATGTCAGGCAACTGATACTGTTGCTGAAAAGAATTATATTCGAAGCATGTGTGTGTGAAATGAAACAATAATTGAGCTAGATTTTTTAAGACATAATAACAGAAATTGTATACATATAACAATTAAATTATCAAGGGTTATTATTTAGTGCAAACTGTAAGATAGTTAAATGTTTAGTTATAATTCAGATATAAAAAGGGTGAAGATAGGAGTGAATTACTCAATTATTTCATAAATAAATTAGTAGAGGATAGCTTATTCAATTCACACCCTTGATAATTAGGTTAGAAATTAGGAAATTAGAATAGAAGGCATAATTAAAAAAAGGAAAGATTATCAATTAAAGGGGCTAGCAAACTCTGTTGGAAAGTCATCAAACTGGATCACAGGGTGAACCAGTGTCAATAGGGAAGGTTGATGCAGCTTGAGAACCAATGAGAAAACAGCAAGAAATACCGGAGTACTTCAGCAAATCACTAAAAGCGAGGAGGTTTGGAGATCTTCGATTTTCTCGACTCTCAATCCTGGTATTAGTACCATTATATATAATTTATCTCCCGATTTTTGTTTTAACGAATTTGCATCTCTCCGACGGAAATGACAGCAATATTACTGCTAAGTTAGAATTACTGATTTCTGTCTGTCTCATGTCGAGCGTTGGAACACATTATGAAAATGTTATTCTTCTGTCTATAAAATTTAACTCTTTTTGAACCTAACCAAATATATACTTAGCTTAACAACAAAAATATTCAAAAAGTAATTCCACTGAAATAAATCTCTTGCTGAAATTAAGTGGAAACCCTCGACTGTACACAGAAATTAAAACAGTAGAGATAATTTTCATATTTTTAGCTGGAAGTTTAAAATCATCAAAAGCTTTTTGCATTGGACAAAACCCAAATAACCGAACCAATTATAAAAGCAGAAAGTTGCAGTTTTGATAGCCTCAAGTTGATTAATTCGAAATCAAATATTGGCTTTAATATTGATGTCACAAAATTTGAATAATGTGTATGACCTAAATTGGTCTTCACAGCAAATTAACTATAGTATCTGAAGTCACTGTAAATAAACACAGAGTTCGGTCGCTATGCCGCCCCCACTTAATAGAGTGGCATTGCAGCCAATATCGGTCTCCAACATCGTAATTAAATCGGGCATCGGGTTATGCGGCACCGAAGCCGATATTCCCGGCTAATATGGAGTCTATCAACAATTAAAATGAGATATGCTAGTTACTTAATCAATATTAATTGCTTTTTGGGTTGGGTAGCTACCGGTCAGAATTTTGATAGATGCACTGAAAATATAAAAAAAATTCACTCACCTATCACTGTTAAATTGATAGCAAAATTTCTTGTTGGTGATGTTTTGAAGTCCACTCTGCACCTATAAATGCCTTCGTCATCTAAAGTCACTCCATCCAAAGTTAGTGCAGCAGGTTTGGATACTGTTACAAAATAAGCTCTCGGTCCAAATATGTTCGGGTCTGACCATTGCAAAGCTTTGTTAAAAGCTCTCCCTCGTACATCGAAACTGTAAAGAAATAAAGCTATTTCAGTATAAGCTGGTATTTTTTCTACATTAGACGCTTTCCTTTTAAGCCTCTTCTTATTTCGCTACTGTTTTATCTCGAAATTAATACCAGGGCGAAACGACATTTTAAGGACAGGAGGAAAGAAAATGCTCCTTAAAGCAAGCAATCTATAATCGGGATAAGCAGCGCAGTCCCGAGAGGGGTTCGATAAAAAATTGCGGGTATCGAACCCAATTTTGGCTTGCCGATCTTCCTCGAGAGGAGGTTATTGATAAATTATTTTAACGGTTGCGATTTTTCAGGATAAAACTAAACTAATTAGAACAATTCATTCGATTATAGGTATTTTTTACCATTTTCAACTGACAGATATTGCGCTAAAGTAGAAATCCGTAGAATTAAAATTAGAATGTCTCGATTTTGGTTTAATATAAATTCACTAGATAATGACATACATTCTTTATTTATCTTCTCTCTAAAGGTAATCAACTCCTGGAAGATCAGCTCCAAGCGGGTTGCAGACTGTATATGTGCCCTGAAAGGCTGACGACTTAGCTAAAGGAGGTTCAACCACTGAAATGATAGGCTCAGGACCATTCTGCGGAATTTCTGCAGGCCTTTTTTAAATGTAAGCGAAGGCAATTACTACACATTTCAATAAAATCTCGATCATTCAAATGATTTCTCAACACTAGGTTAATTATACCTTTATAAAAAAATACACAATTCATGTCCTGAATTCGTCTCCATCATAGAAATGATAAAATTTATTGAGAACTTGCTACACTCAACTTACCCAACATGTGCTTGGAGTGTTTTTTCCGAAGGGGGTCAATGTCTAATATTTTTCCTATCCTAACAATAATTAATAAAACCATCTAATTACAATCAAAACATTGCTTCTAATGTAAACCCTTCAAAAAAAAAGTTTTAACATATATTATCCTCGATTACAGGAAAGATAAAAATTCAATCAGAACGTGCTCAACTACATGTTACTTTTACAACTAAAAAAAGGTTTGCTTTTTATTAAAAATGCAGGAATTGAAAGTGTAATAGACACGGAATAAGCTTTTATTTAAATTCCACAAGTTCAGTTTGCTCGATCGATTTTCGCTCTAGCGCCAAGCTCTCGATGGTCTGATACGATACACACAATGTGAAATTAAAAGGGAATTTTAACCAAAACTATTCTAGATAGAATATATTTTATGTGTCCATTTTGATTTTATGCTGATTGACTTTCATTAAAACAATAGACCGACATAAAACTTTATGATTTTATTACATCGTTAGGTAAATAAATGAAAATAATGTTATGGATATAATTATACGTATCAATACAGATGAAACGTTTCTAGAACAATTTATGTAATCGCGGTCTGCGACCAGAAATTGTTGCTTGTTCTAAAGATGAAGTGAGTCCTGTATCCATAAAAACTGGTGATAATTACCGTGAGGACTTGAATCCGGATAGTAGAGTGTTTTCACAGCTATCAGACCACATACCCACCTCTACCACGTAAAAGCCTCCTCTAGCACAGCCAATCACTACCCGCCTCCACTGTAAACCCCCGTCCGTGAAGCTGCTGAGCATTTTTTTGACTCAAATGCTCCCAGCCATCAATACCCACCTCTTCTACGTAAATGGTTCACCAGATTCACAAATTTTGGGGTTGGCCCGGGTCAAATTCCCAAAATTTCAGATCGAAGGCGCCGATTTTTCAACGATATCGAAAAAGTTCCCACGGTTGGCCCGGGTCAAATTCACAAAATTTCAGATGAAAGGCGCCGATTTTCCCATGATATCGAAAAATTTCCCACGGTTTCGGAATAGCCTTCAGCTATCAAACCAATACCCATCTCTACTACGTTAAAAAGCTTCTACTCTGAAGAGGTACCATATCCCTTTACTTTCTTGAAAACTAAAGAATACCTAAACAACTCCTGCATTTGTATTCGTGAATTTTGGAGTTGGCCCGGCTCAAATCCCCTAAATTTCAGTTTTGCGGTTCTCAATATTTTTGAGTGGAAGCAAGTGGTGGAAAACCTTGCTAATTTATTGATACATCTTCGAAAAATATGGTTTGATTTTTCATTGAAACACAATAAAACAATAAATCAAGTTATCCTTTTATTTAAAAAAATATACAAATAGGAATTTTGAAAATCTTTTTTCTTTCCTGTTGCCTAAATTTTTTTTGCTCATCTGCTCATTTTTGGCGCGGGACAAAGGATTATGGGTTGCATTTGCTTCTGGGTTATTGCTATCTACCAGAAAGTCCTTATCTCAAGAATCATTGATGGTAGGGTTTTTTTGTTTGATAATATTTATTTGTTTATTATGTCTGATATACTCGACTAATTTAGTTGATCTGATGACACCGCATTGTTTGAACTTTTGGATGCATGGGAAAACTTACCAATGAGTTACAAAAACGACCAACTTCATTAAAATCCGTGATAAGCCAGCATTTTTTAAAATCCACTCAAGAATTGTGCTTTGTGATCTTCGAAAAATATGTTTTGATTTTTTATAAAAACCCAATGAAACAATAAATTAAGTTATTATTTTATTAAAAAATTATACTTATAAACTACAATTCCGCAAATCTCTCTCTTTCTTCTTGTCTAAATTTCTTTTTCGCTTTTTAAAGTTCCCACGCTCAACAGCCTTCAGCTATAAAACCAATACTACTCTACTACGTTTAAAAGCTTTTACTCTGAAGAGGTACCATATCCCTTCACTTTCTTGAAAACTAAAGAATATTTAAACAATTCCTGCATTGCTCTTGAAGGATTCAAAATTAAAAGCAGACCGTTATTGTTAAAGGACCCTATCAAAGTTATATTGCAAAAATAGTAGTAGAGTTATTGACAACCACCAACACGAATACAAATGCAGGAATTGTTTAGGTATTCTTTAGTTTTCAAAAAAGTGAAGGGATATGGTACCTCTTCAGAGTAGAAGCTTTTTAACGTAGTAGAAGTGGGTATTGATTTGATAGCCGAAGGCTTTTCAGCGTGGGAACTTTTTTGATACCGTGGGAAAATCGGCGCCTTTCATCTGAAATTTTGGGAATTTGACCCGGGCCAACCCCAAAATTTGTGAATCTGGTGAACCATTCACGTAGAAGAGGTGAGTATTGATGGCTGGGGGAATTTGAGTCAAAAAAGTGCTCAGGAGCTTCACGGAAGGGGGTTTACAGTGGAGGTGGGTAGTGGTATGACGGCTGTGCTGGAGGGGGGTTTTACGTGGTAGAGGTGGGTATGTGGTTTAATAGCTGTGAAAACACTCTACTACCGATGTTTTCGAAGAATATCTTGAGGAAAGATTGGATTCAACACACAAATAGTGTATAAAAGTCATGAATAACCAACCTGAGAAACTGTCAGCCACTTTACGGCAAATATATTTAAGTGGTTCGGAAAAAAAAAACCGATTAGTTTCTAGTCTCATACAAATGATCCCAAAGGACCTGATGGCAGTGAACAACTTCATTGAAGAAAATAAAATAAACCGGTGATGACTTTGCGGAAAAACTTTGTTATTTTTCTACGACGACTCTCTCCTTACCATTTTGAATTGATGGATGTGAAAAAAGAAAAATGGGGTATGTCGTGTAGTGTTTATATATGTGAATATATTGCGTCCAAGATTAAGGGGCACTCTTGTCCTTAACGCGGATGAACTGATGAATGAGTCAACTGATTATATTCCTTTGAGCACATCATGTCAAACAGTCAGAAATCAACAAAAGATATGCGATCCGGCTAGCGACAGGCGCTCAATCGGCTCCGGGTCGAAGTGCAACCGGGCCTGTGGATGTGAGCTACCAGGCAGCATCCACGACTGGAAGGAGTCAAATTAACCTCCGAAACCAGATACACCTAGGAACCTGGAATGTTAGCAGTCTTTTACACATTATAGCAACTATAGAACCATATCGCTTCTGTCGCATGCAAGTAGAATTCTGCTTCATATAAAAAATAACGGGTTAAAATCCTTACTGCTTCCCCACATTCCTGACGAAGAAACAGGGTTCATTCCAGGCAAGGAAACAAATACTAAATGTCAGACTAATAATCTAGAAAGCATATGAATCCAATGTCAAAACTTATTTGTGTTTCGTCGACTACAGTAAGGCCTTTGATTTTGTAAGGTGGAAGAAACTATGGCTGGTCTTGGAAAGAATGGGGATACCAAAACATATGATCCTTTTACTCAAAAACCTTTACGAAAACAGCTTCGAGAAAGTAAAAGTGCACAAAACCCTAAGTTTTTCGATCCGATAGGCGGTGAAAGACAAGGTTTCATTGTATCACCCATACTTTTCAATATGTATGGAGAGTATTGTATAATGAGGAAAATTTTATAAGGTTGGCAAGGGGGACTAAGGATAGGAGGAATAAAGATTATGAACCTAAGATATGCTGACCACACCTCAGTTAATTAAACTGTGCTCAGAAGAAGAACTCATCCAAATTATGAAAAAGTTGGACAGGAAGTGTAGCATGTGAAATGCTACTGTTAGTATTTTGTTCCTTTTTTCTTCCAAATATAATTTTATATTACCTTCATTCATGACAGTCTGGTCTGGAATTATTAAACTAGGGGGCATGATTTTCATTTAAATTTGAATTACCAGTTTAGTAACAACGTTTTCCGTTGCCTATTATTTGAGGGGAAGCTCTGTCTGTTCATGTTGTCCGTTTCTTCGTCCCTCTTTAATTTTGCCGTTCGCCCGAATGGTCGACCCTGGCCTGGGGCCTTATTCTATAAAAAACGAACCGTTCGATTCGGTAGAATTTCTTCGATTGTGACGTCATTTTCGGTATTTTCGGAATAGCTTCCGCGCTAGCAAACCGAAAATGACGTCACAATCGAAGAAATTCTACCGAATCGAACGGTTTGTTCTTTACAGAATAAGGCCCCTGGGGGCAGTGTTGCCAACAGTATTTTTTTAATTCCGTCAACTTTGCTGTAGATTTCCGTCAAAAATCCGTTAAACCATTTTTTTT